TGGGTCGTGTAGAACTGCTGGAAAACAAGTGAGAAATAAGAAAGCCAAACAAAAATCACCTTAGTGTTGTGGATGGTTTGAGATCAATGCCAAGATTTAGGTTGAATGTATCATTACGAAAATCGTATTCGGCCAGCAACGGATACTCCAATTCGATGCATCGTTTCTGTACGATTTCAATTGATTCTTGCTTGATCTAAACAATTCACTTCTTCAGTTTAATGATCATCACTCATCGCTTTTCCACAGTTCTTATGAAATGAACTGCGATAATTTGCACTGTCCATCTTGTTCGGAATAGTACTATATTTATTTCGAAGCAAGTTTCAGGTGAGTCTAATTGTAAGGTTGCTAGCTTAAGAAATCGATGACGTTTCAAGTTCTTCAATCATGCTTATATCCCCAATAACAGTTATCAAAAGCCTGATAACATCTGATAATTCAGCCACATCCTATAACATCAAAAAGCCAATTCATTGACAGAGTTTTCACGAGGAAATCTACGATTCAAGCCTTCAGTTGACCACCTCAAAAGTAAGCAGTTGTAAGTTTTGAATAGCCTCATCGTCGTCGTCTTCTTCGCCCTCTAATTTGCCATAAAACTGATGAATATCTTCTGGAATGTCCTCGTTCTTCTCCTGTTCTGTTTGCTCAGCGTTCAACTGCGTGCTTCCAGGTATTCGAATTTTTTGCATGGCTAAATCCTGAAATATCGCCAACGAATAACGAACAAATACAGAACAAAACAAAAAATCCACAATGATGAACAACAACGTAAATCGTATGAAAACCTAAGCATACTTATGAATTACACAAGTAAAATAATGTTTGCTCAACCAGAAACAATGAATAATACACAACGCACAGTTTGCGGTACTTGCTCCACGGGTTTTTCATCCACCAAACATTGACGAATAACTTTGTCTTTGAGAAGCGATTGGATAACGTCCGAATGTCTTGATTCCACAAAATAACGGTTATGTTTCAGCACCAATTTCACTTTACCATAACTTAGTGTACACAACTGAAATATTAATGCAAATAACTTCTTCGCAATTGTCCAAACAAAATATTCAGTAAATACTT